CTCCCGCCTCTCACTCCTCCTCCCTCTCAACCTTTGTTCTCCCGCTACTTTACCTTTGCCTACTGCCCTGTCTCTCTCACACCTAAAGAAGGCTCCACGGCCGAAACGTTGTGTTCTCTTTCTTCTTTTTTTCAGCATGGAATAAACCTATTACTTGTTCCTTTATTGTAAAATAATTATTCATAAAATGATAATTAATGTATTTTCTTGTATCCTTACATTCATACAAACTAGCACAATGAAGATCAGTCCTGCTGATTATATTAGTTCTTTTACACAAAATGAGACAAAACTTCACAAATGGTATGAGAGTTGATCCTACACAGTCAAACTGATTTGCTTACATAAATATAAATTATATTGCACGAAAAACAAAACTGTTGAAATATGAAGTCAGAACACAAACTATTCTATGGCTCTAAGGAAATTCCTCTGTACACTGAAAGTTGTTGTACAGGGGCCAAGCAATATGTAATAATATAGCAATATGTGTAAAAATTAGCAGCTTTGATCACAAGATGAGGTTTATTCAATACCAACTACAAAAATGAATGAGAAGATGATAAATTACAACTTATGAAAACAGAGGTACAAATAAGAGGCCATTCAGGCTGCTAAAGACTATAATACATTAAACTATAGCAATGTAAAGGAACAAGTGATAGGTTTATTCCATGCTGAAAAGAGAAGAAAGAAAACACAAATATTTTGGCCGTGGAGCCTTCTTTAGGTGTGACCAAATGAAATGTTATGTTTTCTTTCTTCTCTTTTCAGCTTGGAATAAACCTATCACTTTTTCCTTTGCAGGCTAAGCATACTGATGCAGCTCCTCACCTGAACTACTATAGTAATGCAATCATCTCATAGTAGGCGCTTTTGTTAAAAAAACATTTTGCCTTTCTAAAGAAATGTGATGTTGCTGTTACCTGAATGATACACATACAGCTAATGTAATGTCAATGCCTTCTACATAAACTTAAGTGCACTTTCTCTCAAAGAATTCTGCTTGTTTAAAGCACTTCCAAGTTTTCACTTTGGGTGCCAAATTACCTTGGATGGCGTCATTGCTACTGTAAGTACTCCTTGTCGGCACACACAACATTCATACTTGAGTGCTTCCTCATTACCTAATGGACTCAATCCAAACTTAAATCTAAAACAATATATTTGCTCATGATTTCTTCGTGATCATAAACATTAATGCTTCCCCTGCCCAGTGCAGCTCTCTGTTGAAAACTATGTATCACAAGTAGGCCACTGCGTCAGCGTGTGGAGGCTGCAAAGGAACAAGTCAAGGTTTATTCCAGCTGAAAAGAGAAAAAAGGAAACACAACATTTCGGATATGGAGCCTTCTTTCTTTTCTGTAGAAGATGGTTAAGTTATTTATCCTTCTTTGCAATGAGGAACTCGTAACGTTTGGAGTTGAGGGATCTGATGAGGTTGGAAGAAGGCTCCACAGTCGAAACATTATTTTCTTTTATTTTCAGCATAGAATAAACCTTTACTTGTTCCTTTGCAACAAATTATCACTACCAGCTCGTCTAAACTGGACCAGATAAAAACAGACCACAGATGAGAGATTCACTGCTGTAATGCTGTTGAAATATGTGATAAGAATATTTGCTGTGAGGAAACTGACCAAATCTTTTTGCAGCAAGTGCATTGCCATTTGAGCTAGGAAATGCATCATTCGGATTACCATTTGTCATCAACAGGTCTGATCACAGGGCTAGTAGCATGTGTCGGCCCTGATGCGTAACGGTGCAAGCTGTACATCTGCAATTCATGCTCCGCACCAGGCTGCAGATGCTCTCCTGTGGGATTCTGTTTCATTCCTCTTGTGCAGCCTGAACAAAGATGTGCCTCTTCACTGGCCTCACCACATGTTGTCCCAGTTCATCCTCAAGATACCCAAAATGGCTCATGTCTGATGTGTAGACTATGCACATAAGCGTCACATTCTCGCCTCTCATGAAAGCTGATATTACACAAGCAGCAACAGGATACGCCTGCAGGAAATGCGGCCACCAGGACTTGATAAATGTGACACCACAGAGTCAGGCTGGCATCACTAAAGGTATAGTTCTGTAGTACCTCCACACTTCATAAGCTTCACTTTGATTGGTCTGTTCCACATAACAATTACTGTACTGTTGTGCAAGTCCAAACTACACTTGTTGACATCCATCAGGGTGGTCCGCACAAAACCTTGATTCATAACCAAATTCAACAGAAGTGATTCAGTCCAGCCTCCACCACAAAGGCACTATAGACAACCACATGCTGGTTCCATTCTGTGTTTGTTTCTTCATTTTTACCAGGTTTGGCATTGAATGGGCTAAACCACCCTCTCAAATCAATGTTCTTTCTACTGTTTGAACAATTGATCAAAACAAACAATATGTTCAGCTGTCTGTTATGTTATAGATTGAGGCTCTCTGGTGGTCTAGATCTAGTCTTTCCATTTTTTTGCTAGCTTAAAATATTGTTCTAAAGCATCCAGGATTGACTTGACATAATTTGTCTGGTCTTCAGTGAGGTTCAGGCTATGTTGTTAACATGGCAGCATTCACTGCCCATCAATTGCCTTAGAGGGTCTGTCTGCACTTCTTCCAGTCCGTCTTCAAACCTTGTCCCTAGAATGATATCTTCAAACTCAACTGGGGTCCCAGTGTACACTAAGGTTACCACTCTTGGGGTGGATGCTGATTTCAGCTGTGTCGCCGGTGACTGACATTGACTGTAGGGTGAGGGTTAGACCACTTCTGAAATAATGACAGACAATGTACTGTGTTTACTGAAACGGTGTTGAATACAACAACGAACATGACAACATCCAGGCGAAAGATACCAACCTGAGCCGGAAGAGAGCAGACAGTGTACTAGTAACCCTCACCACAGTGCCTTTGAAATTGTTGAAACCATCCATGGGTGGCCTTGAACACCAGCTGTTTTTCTGCCTCCTCTGACACCTTTTCCTTCTTATCCCTATAAAAGCTAATGGCCTGTACCTGCTTGACAGCACAGCTTACTGGTGTATGTTTTTGGAGAAGATCCTCAAGCTACACAGCCAAATACCTCTGCATGTTTCACATAATTTCACATTTGCTTCTCGTTATCTTGCATAAAAGCATGTTGAGCAGTTTTTATTATGCTGTCTTTTTTCTTGAAAATAGTCCTTCAAGGTTGAAGGTAGACACAATTTGTTTACGACATCAGGGGCACGTTCA